TTTCTTTACAGCGTTCGCTTAGATCGCTCATTCACTGTGATGATCAACACATCTATCATTATTTCACCACAGTTCTACCCATTCAATATTCACACCATGTAATATGTGCAGTAAGTCAATATGGCATGATTTCCACTCATATAAAAACCTCTCTATTGAAAGCTGCTACTCAACAAACAAATTTAAATGAGATGATAATAGCATACAGTCCATCAACAGTATTTGATAATATATTTACCTCTACAACTTGCAATCTCTCAACAAACTTATCAAGTCTTGTGAAAACAAGCTCATTGCCAAACTCCCAAGGCTTGATGTCGGCACCCTCTTTGAAAAACTTGGAGATGTTCTTCCTGTTTTCTTGGAATGTGTTTTTGAACAACATGCAAATCTCAATGGCTTTTTGTGTCTTTTCATAAGCCTCTTCAACTTCAGACTTGAAAATTTCTGCAGGATCAAGATATGTTCTGGCCTATGAAAATTAAAAGCATGTCAATGTTAAATTCAGAACTTGAGGGAAAAGGTAAATTTTGAAGTATCCAAATAATTCATGATTTAATGCCTTATGGAATACCATATGAATAATGTCCTTTTTTCACGAGGGTAGCACTTAATAGCCAGTGGCTAACAAACCTGTGGCCCTCATTCCATGATCGAATTGGAATTTAGGAGTTGATTTTTGCGGAGGGAGGAAAACCGGAGAACCCGTATAACCCTGGAAGCACAGGAGAGAACCAACAAACAACTCTACTCATATACAACACAGAACCCGGTGGGACTGGAACTCAGGTCGCATTGATGAGAGGCGAGCGCGCACCCTGCTACGCCACCTGTGCTTCCTGTAAATGACGTTCGAGGAGATTTTGCAGCAAGCTTAAGGTGCTGTACCTATGAATTCTTACCATATCAATAATCATGTTGCAAAGCTCCTGAAGGAGGACTATAATTCTTGGTGGAGAACAGTAGAATTTGGAGTTTGCCCATAATAGACCCACAACATGTAAGATTGCTGGTAGAATCTTGTACAACTCAGAGAAATCATACTGCTCCATGTCCTCAAGTTGTCTGCGTAAAGGCTTGAGATGGAGGGTTATGTCTCTCGCTTCCTCAAGTGCTAAAGTGTCAGAAATAGAGTAGTTAGTCAATCATTTTCACAATTACATGAAACCTATTAGTAGGATTTTAGTGAGTTTATTCTAGAATGATTGTTCAGTTGATTTAAAAATGATAAAAAAATACTAGACTAACAAATTTGATATTTTGGTTGTCAGTGATGACACCGATAATGTTTATATATCCAGACCCTTGCCCTGATTCCCATTATGTTCACAGTCACTCAACTGAGAGACACTACAATTTTTTATTTTCTGGTGTGATATTTTAAGAATCATACATGCCTGCAGTCCAGTATACTGATTAAGGCTTTCGCCATCCATGCGCTCAAATGGGATAAGGGAGAACAAAACAAATAATTTGCTAAACAAGTGGAAAGTAAATGGGATTCTAAAAAAATACCATCCTAAAGTTGGTCTGGATAGGGAAAAACTGTGCCCTTGCCTTGAAAACAACCTTGGCTTAATATCTTCAGTCCATATATTCAGGCACTTCTTTATAGCAGCTATGCAGCTTACAATCATGAGTGACTTGTTAGTACATTAGTTTTATGCCTCCAAAGGTTTTCCCTATCCGAACAACTTTAAGACGGTAAATAACCTCTATTTCCTGTGATACCTACCAGAAATAACATCTTTGAAGATCTTCTTGAAAGCTGGGAAGTAACTACTTTGTGTCTTTTCTAATAGCTCAGCCATTCGTCTCACTTTTCCATCATGGAGCTAAAATTGAGGAATTTGTATTTATTTATAACATTTCAAAATAGGAATATCTTCTAGTTAACTGTGCTAAAATCATCAAAAATACAACAATTTAAGAGCATGAAAATGTCTTTTTCTTGAATCGCGTTCTTTTTACCTGCTGGAAGATACATTCCAGGTTTGAAGCCCTGGCTTGCCAGAAATCTAGTTCAACCAAAGGACCTGGGTTTTCTCCATCCAGTAGAGACTGTGCTGAGTTCCTTTTCAAAACTGTTTGAATTTGGTGACTCCAGTCAATTATGACTGATTCAATGGAATGTACAAGACTGCGATCAAATGTTTCACCCCTAGAAACAGGATATGAAAACACATTATTAGATTTTAAAATATCAAACAGCTTTCTCTTTTAAATACTCAGATCTAAACATGCAGGTTATTGAGAGAACATAAGGAAGGCATAAAAAACGGTGTGTTTATTTGTGTGCAAGTGTTATAAAAGAAAAATAGGATTTCAATCAATTAGGGCATGCATTAACACTCTAATGACAAAATGATGATGGTAAATTTGAACAAAGAAAATAATGAATTACCTTTCTTCTGCTTCAACAGCTTCAGAGACCTGCTCCGAACCTACTGGAAGAGGCAGCAATGTTTTGCCTTTAACTTGTCCAGCAATAACAAAAACATTACTCTTTAACTGGTGAACATGTCGCATGACATCTTGGGATACCACGGCTGGCCACTGCTCATGGTTACGTGGATTTGACAGTAATGGAACTAGAATCTATATAAATTACAAAAAAATAATCAAGGATACTATTAGAGTGCTTCTCAAATGGTTGTCGCAATGAAGTAATAGGATTTGGTGGACATCAATCAAGGCATATCCATGACATCCCATTGGCAAGTGCCCTTGAACTTAGATAATAATTATTATCATGGATAAAGTTATGTAAATAAATAAATAAACAAACAAACAAACAAACAAATAAATAAATAAACAAACAAACAAACAAACAAACAAATAAATAAAAGTCTGTTCAAACCAAATTAGGAGTCACAGAGGAAATAATTCAATTGATAATAGAATCATTTTGATTTTCCAGCATTGTAAAGGTATTTTGTAGCTATTCGTTAAATATTAACTTGAATACATGTAAATATAAGATGCAGACATTACATTTATTGTAGATGAACTATAATACTGTATCCTCAATATTTTCCACATGGGTGATTTTGGTCTTATTTGTTGCATAACAAAATAATACCATGTATTTGGGGTTAAACCGTGTCCAGTAACTCGGGGATGTAGTAAGGTTTTATGCTGCTTTTTATGCAACTTTTAACATATATTTAGTTAGTAAACTCCTCATCACAATATAGGCAAACTAATAAATAAATGTTGAAACATTAACTAAACCAAGAAGAGTGGTTGACTTCATGCGTTTGTGTGTTGTTTTTTTAATAAGATAATATAATCTATAGGAATTTTACGGCAGAAAAAATGAGAAAATATGGCGAGTTTGCTGCAAGAAGCTGACGCCATCTTTGCTCTTTCTTCTGCAAATATTTTCACAAAACGCACAAGTAAACACAAGATATTTAGCTACAAACCTCTTCAACTAAAACTGAAAGTTGGTCCAGAGGCGAAGCAGATAAATCTCCGTAGCTCAAAGAGTTTTTAAAATTGTCTTTGCCAACGTTTATTCCCTTTTCTTTCTTGACAAAGTAGACTGCTTTGTTTTTCATGCTCTCTGGAAACTCGTAAGCCGGTACCAACTGACTGCCTCCAGATAAAGAAATTACGAGTGTGTTGTGCTCTGGTTTCTCGAAAAAGTCTATTATTAACTGACGGTATTCTTCATTTCCTTGCAATTTAGCCCATTTGTCAGCTTTAAGCTTCATTGTCTTGAGAACATAGTCCGAGATAAACTCGAAGCGGACGTCGTTGAACTCCATTTTGGTTTCGCGCTCTTCAAACTCGTTTAGTATTTACAAATTTGCAGGGGTAATTCTTGCCYCAATTTGTTAAAAATGTATCAAAATACAAGCGTATCTTATTCAAAAACTGTTTTCATCAAAAATATGCCTTCGTTCATTATTTGTAGGCTTTAAATGTAGGTACTTTCAGTACAAGGGAGCAGGCAACTCCAACCACTTGGTGCTGTACTTGGTGCTTTCTTGTCTCTCTGGGTTTGAAGGTTGCTATAGCAACGTTGTGTTTACCCCCATAACTCCTAGAAGAGGAACATTGGATTGTGGATTTTGAGGAATTTTTAACTCAAAAAGCGGTATTTCGTCAAAAATAAACTTGTCCTGCAATTTTTACGATATATACTCATCACATAATGAACGAATTTACCTGAAGAAAGTACAATTTGAAAATTCCGTGTAAACAAGCGGATTAAGGTGACTGCCTACTTTTG